GTCTCGTATTGTGAAATGCCTCAGGTTCAGCTGTCGGGCCGAGCTGGAGGCGCCTCTTACCTCCAGCCAGTCATAATAGACCCTTTTCTAACTCAGTGGCCCCTGGAGCTGTTGAAACCCAGCTCACATTATACCCACTGTGCGGATTCCCGGTTTGGATGTGTCAAGGAACAGCCAATGCAGGCAGGCTGGGGGCATACAGTCAAAAGCAGGATTGGACCAAAAGGTTTCCGGGATGCCTCAATGACCTTGATTTTAATCACTTACACGGTTTGGAGGAGGGTAGAGTATCAGGTAGGCAGTTTGCTAGAGGCACACGAGAGTAAAAACAAAAGGCTTGAATGGATTAAGAGAAAGGACATGAATGGAAGAAGTTTGGGGACAGGCAGGCGTTGGCCTATCTAAGGTGTCTCTGGGGAACAAGGCTTGCAACATGGCTTCCTGATCAGGTTAGGATCTCACCTTAAGTCTCGGGTGTTCTTACAGTGTCAGGCTTTTCGTTAGCCGAATTATGGCGCAGCTTTCACTCATTTTGTTGTGACACATGCAATTGTAAACCCATCCAGTGGCCCTCTGCAGCTAGGGGCTCCTGCTCCGGAACGTTTGCTCTGGTCGGGGCATGGCCGTCCTCAGCCATTCTGCTCACCGTTCCCTCCGAGTTTGGCTGCAGTCCTTACAGGTGTTGGAGAGAAGGCATTTTCCCAGCAAGACTAACCAAGATACAGTTTCAGGATCCTGTGTGTGTTTAGGTAAAGGGGGAAAATCCTACAGTTTCCAGCATTCCCCAGCCAGCTCAAGGTGTAGGACGTTTCTGAGGGCACAAGCTCAGGATTGCACTTTTAGACAGATAGAATAGATACGGATCAACACAGCTGCCTATGGTTTTGGACTCTCTGTAGGGGCAGAGCAGTGGGGCTAGCAAAGTGAGCACCTGCTCTGCAGATTTTACAACTAGGAAACACACAGCATTCGTTGACATGTTCGTAACCAGACTGCTGCCCTCTTGTGGTTAAAAATCACACAAGACCTGTATGCATGCAGAAGCAGTAACGGGCAATAGTCCCTCCGATATTGCACTGATTTTTGAAATGAGGCAGGGGAGAACTATGGGGAAGTTTGGATTACCTTGTAGTTTTTTCATATATGTCATGTCTTTGCAAGAAAGATGGCCAAGAGGCCAGACTCCGACACTGAGGTGATGGCTTCTCCATGTCTTCCAGCATGCCTGCAGGATCCATCACAAAAGAAAGTCTGTGGCGGTGAGCCAGAAAGTTTCTACCCCCACCAGTGCATGCAGAAAAAATGCTGCTATCAGAACCACACCTGCTACCACCATGCCATTGATGGTAAGATTAATTTCAAAGCGAGTCATTTGCAGCGTGACAAATTTTACTGACCACATTCTGCGCTGTGTCGAGACCATTTCCTTTGGAGGAGGCATATCTGTTACAGGGATATTACATTTCCCTAGGACCCACATCACAAGGCATGTATCTGGACTACAAACCTATAAGTTTTATAGCAGCACGACCCTCATCATTTTCTTCCAGTGTTGAATTGGTGATGTTGCGGCTGGCAAAACCAGGATTCCTTTCTCCCTTGGAAAATGGAGTCCTTGTCCTTTGCAAAGGCATCGCAGCACCTGTTGGACAGTGCCTGTGATGCCATGGATACGAAGGAACAGCAAAGCACTGTCTGTGCTATATTGTGTCTGGTATTCTGCCCGCAGAGGAAATGATGCCAGAGAACAAGTCCCCCTGCACTCAGTGGCATTTTTTCCCTAGCATGTGTATTGCGGCATAAAGCTCTTTCCTGCCTGTCCAAGCCAGGAGGTGGGCAGCTTGCAGCCCTCCCTTGCGGCTGTTTTTGCCTACAGCTCCCAGCACCCCTTGGCAACGTAGTCCATGGTGGGAGATGACAAGGGCTGTGGGCCAGAACATCTGGAGAGGCACAAATGGCCCATCCTTGTAAGAAGATGCAAGGAGTCTTTGGGGAGGGAAACAGCTCTGCCCCAGTCCATGTGCATTCCATAGAATCTTCTTGCCATGCATGTGAAGGGATCTGCGGAGAAGTTGCAACGACCGCCTGGAAGCTGGGACAGAGCCTTCTGCCACAAAGGTGTGCCACATACACTCTTGCTGAGCCTACTTAGAAATGAAAAGGGCTGAGCCATCAAAGTAAATGTGGAAAAGCTCTTCGCCATTTCACCCTCCCCACCACCAGCAACCAGTTCATTTCCAGGGTGTACATTATTTTTAAGGGGGGAAAGGCACACTCATAAAACTGACCACTGGGCAGCCAAGTTATTAGTGGTGCAGCTACCACTGGACTGTACTACTTCAGATTGCAGGTGGGGGGAATTCTGTGTTCAAAAACTTCCCAAATAAAAAACCTAGGACACTAAAATGTTGAGGGGTGCACGGGAAGAGCTAGGCTAGGCTCAACTAGAACATGTTCGCATCTTTAAAGGAATTCTTTTAAGTGGTATACCAGTCAAAAAGGTGTTTTCTCTATTTGCACTTCTAAAGTGGTACAGTCCAGCAAGAGCTGTAGCATATGATTCTCCCAAATAACATAGCTGAGTCTTTTGCACTTTTTGCTGAGACATTTAACGCTCACAGGAGGCAATAATAGGTTGTATGTTTAATACAGCTGGGGGACCCTCTATGGAAAACTAACAAGTTGGAGGCTAGATTGGATTCTTGTCTCTGACATGCCGATTTGTACCATCTAGCAAACTTTTTGCGGGGGAAAAGAAGCCAGCAGCACCACCAACTGCTATTCAGGAAAACACTTTTCCTACTTGATTCTGCCACTGAATGGCTCTTTATAAGATTAAACATTCTCATGATTTATGTATTTTTAAACTGATCATTTCTGTTGGAAGGCATGATATATGTTTATTAAATAAACAATACCAGCCCCAGGACTCTTGCTGAAGCCAAGACAGGGGAAATGCCCTCATGCTGGGCATTTCCCCTGTCTTGGCTTTAGCAAAATAGCACCACTGTGCACAGGTGAGACGATTCTGGGGCCGAGAAGAGAATCCCTGAATCTCGACAGCAGGCTGCAGCCCGCAGGCAACTTCCTCCCAGTGTTAAGGGTGGGAGTCCGTGTGTGCCTGGGTCTGCAGGGACCTGCGGGAACCCAGCAGGGAGGTCTCCCCTGCGCCCCTTGAAGTAATTTTTATCCCGTCAACGTCGAGCAACATGGAGCCATCATTTTAACAGCCCACAAGGCTTCCGATGTCTTTCTTACTAGCCTCCTGGTGCTGAGGTGCCATCCTGTGAGCCCGCCAGAGACTGCAGGGGCAGGTGAGGGGCACTTTGCAGAAGTCCCTCTCAAACCCAACCCTGCTGTACTGACCATAACTTCTCAGTCTCCAGGCAAGGTCCATACTGAGTAAACAGCTCCTATTTTTCCTGACAGCTGCAAAACAGACCCGAAATGCAGGGATCCTTGGTGGAATTCTTATCGCAGTGGTCCTATGTGGCATGTGCTTCTTTTTCAGCAGGTGGGTCATGCGTCTTGGGTATGACAGGCTAGACAGACAAGATTCACAATTTTATTACCTTGGAATCCAGCTGCTGGGCATACAGAATCTTGGGGCCACCAGATTCAGGGTTCTTTCCAGCTTACAAAGGAACTGCTTTGCCTGGATCTGCAAATATTTGTGGGATTTAAGCACCAAGCAATTTGGGATGGTGGGTCACAGGCTTTCAGGCACAGTCTAGAACCGGTTTGTGATACAGCTTTATCAGGTGCAGAACTGTTGTGGTTTCTGAGCAAGGACTGATGCAAAAGGATGCTTCAGTGGTGGCGGTAGGGACCCCAACGGTGGGATTCTTACCCACCTTAAAAAGTGAGAAACTTTGTCCAAGAAAGTTGGTTTCTCATTAGTTTAATGAATGCAAATGAACAGGAACAGCTTTTAACAGGTTGGAATAGCCCTGAGTTTAATATAATGAAAGCTTCAAGCAAATTTGCACAGCTGTTGGAGTTGGACTTCCTGTCCCTTCCATCTAGGTATCTCGGGGTCCAGTTTCCCAGGGCCCAAGCTCCCCATCTGAAGAGTCCGAATCTCCCTGACCTTGAAACTTGCACCAAGAACTGTCTCTGTCATTCCAAACACATCTTGAACTCCCACAGGACCAAACTTTGGGGGAATTGAAGGGATGCAATTCACTAAACCACAGCTGCAATCCACAAATTGGCAGGCCAACAAATAGGAAACTTTTAATTAAAGGTGAAGGAGCTCCAGAAATCATCAATATCTGTTCACATAGGCTAGTGCGGTAATTGTGTTTTATTGTGCATTTACACACAGAGGGAGTATTCCGAATCAAGTCTGTTAAAAAAGGGGAGGCCAATTCAGAAAACACTGTATTGCAACTGACTGGCAACGGCCGATCTGCAAAATCCCTAAAGGATGAGCAAACAAAGGATAGCAATTCCAGGGAAAAGCCCTTATGTGGAAGTGCGCTCTCGCTCTCTCTCTCTCTCTCTCTCTCTCTCTCTCTCTCTCTCTCTCTCTC